AATAAAAAGCTTACCTTAATAATTTAAAGGATATTTTATAATAATAGCTTTTTAGCTTTTATAAATATATTAATTAAAATCTAAAAAAGGTTATTTATATTAACCTTTTATATTACTAATATAAGCGCTATAATAGCTTATAAGAATTATTAAGTACTATTAGTAATTAGGTATATTTGCTTGTAAGGTACTAACACTTCTAGTTCTAAGTATTGTGTGTAAGAGGGAAGTTAGTCGGAGAGTAGTACGTATAATGTTGGAACTATCCTTACTGATCCGAGCAATAAGGGCTCCATATTTTATGTAAAGTAATGATTCTGATAACATGTTGCAAAGACACTTCATCTGGCTAACTGGGTCTATTTCGGACCAGAGGCGAATAAGTTAATTACTTATAAGAGAAAAGATAAGAAGAAGAAGGCTAATTTGTCCTGAGATGCTATCGGGGATAGGGACTGTTTAAATGGCAATTGAAGATTGTTTGGCGGGGATCCAGACTGCAAACTCAGCGACACTGGAAAGAGCAGGGGGGATAATGAACATGTTCCATCTTCGGATTATGCCGGCGTCATATCCAGCAGACAGGCAGCCGAAGAGACTTGGAATGCTGGTCAGCGTTCGAACAGGAGGCCAGCCTACATGTCGACCTACCTTGCGGCGTTGAATATAACTACCAAGTACTGAGCTATTTCCTCTCACATGGACGTCTCCTGAATCCCTGCGAAGCCATATAGTCGACGGGGATGAAAATGCCCTGGGTCAGGACGAATATGCCCAGCAGCAACATGACAAACGGGAACTCTTTGAAAGGTATAGCGAAGCGGCCGGCCCGCATCTTCTTCGGTACCGGCTTCACCCTTGGGCAGACTGTGAGGATTGCAAAATCTGCAGGCCGAGGATGAGAAAGGCTCCAGTCCTCATGGCCCAGGGGTACCCGACACTCCGGATCATGCGCCTGATCATGATGGGGAAGATGACGCCGCCGACTGATAAGCCTGTCGCCGTGGCGCCCGCGGCTGCTCTACGCTTCTTGCCAAACCAGGCTAACACACGAGCGAGGGCTTCATTGCGCAGGACTCAGTCGTCATGGAATTAGTGTTGATCCAACCTGTGCTGGAGAAAGAGCAGCACCGTGCCCCTAGGGCGGCCAGCCACGCAACGGTGCCCCCGTCAGGGGGACCAGAGTCTTCCGATTTCGTATCATCGTTTGGGTTCGTGATGCCGTCTTTGCTGTGCCGCTCGCCGACATCAGACTCCGGCCGTGCGGCCTTCTTGAGGTCGGACCTTGGTGTTGCATGTCAGTAGTATTATCGACGCCGTCCGTGCTGGGCATGGTCAATGACTTGTGACACAAAACTGGGGGGAATATTCAAGCATGAGTTAAGTGCAAGAAACGGCTGGTTCAATGTTGATTTCTGGGTGAAGCGGAAAGCTCGAGTTGTAACAGCTGGCCAGCTTCCACGTACACGTACAACCGCGGGAAATCCAGATACCGATTTTTTCTAGCCTTGTCCGCTTGCGAATGCAGCATCTATCCTCCGCTTGAGGCTGCGGGCGTTTCCTCGCGATTCTGTGACAGTCACACAGGAGCAGACGATGAGCAGGGCCGAGCGGACGGTCAAACGACCTGTGATTAGTGCCTCGGATGCGGAGGCGGAGGCGGAGGCGGAGGTGGACCGGCCAACATAACATGCTGTGATCAACCAGACATATCGCGCGCGCAGGTGACGAGGGACTGCTGGAAGCTCATGTCAAAAGTTTTACCACCTATACTACGAAAAATGGAGATCACTCCTAGCAGTGCAAGGGCTTTATTTTGCTTTATGTCTCATCCCAGCTCAAGCCTCGCTCTCTCTCTCAAGGTCACACCTACGACACCAAACTATCTATTGTCTGACTCTTGCACGATGAATCCAAGCCGCCGAGGGTATGGGTGAGTGCACACATAACTCTAATAGCTGCGTTGCCATGGCGCCTGTGGCCGCAGTACCTCCCGAGACAAGCACGGTCTCACCGTGGAGCCTTGAACAGGCAACTCTACCCCAGGGGCCTCGAATAGAGCCAAGCCGGTCGTAGTCAGAAAGACCAGGCTTGGGAGATGTGGAAGCTAATGTCCTCTTTTGCGAAAGCGTACTCGGCAAAGGCACACCTTGTTTTGTCTGTGTGTGATAAGGGCATGATAGAGCTTGGAGGAAGAAGCTCAGTTCAGCTACCACCAGTCTTTGGCATCAAAGTCCCCTAGTTTTCCTCAAGGCCCCATTGGTCAAAGACGTCTTCAAATACAAGTCGGCGAGTGTGACAAGGGTTCAATTATGAAGGCTTGGAGCAATAGCTCAATTCAACTAATAACAGTCTTTGGTATCAAAGGTCCTTGGTTTTCCTTAAGGCCTTGAGGGACCGAAGACGTCTATTTATACAAGAAGTCGGTGAGGGCCTCCTGCCCTAGGTCTCGTAACCGTAGCCCTTGTGTAACCAGCCATTTCCGTGTAACAGCGAGGGAATTTACACTAGATCCCGTTATCGTAGCTCTTGTGTAACCGTGAGATATTAGGCCATTTCCGTGTGACATAGAGGCTGTTACTGTGGCGAGTGCTGCAGCATTAGCACTTTCGCAGCGCCATCCTCTGCTCTTTGTGCATTGCATGTTGATCTTTATGGCCTTGAGATGTTTCAGCCCTCGCAATTCCACAACGTGCCAAGGAGTTGGTTCTCCCTACAGCCGCTAAGCCACTGCACCCATGTCGTCCGTTCAGGCGTCCATCATTGTTAGCTTTTGGAGAAGTTGTGAACCTGATAACTGTACTATTGTGAGGTTGCTGATAAGACATCGTGCCAGCTCGAATCCGCGACTGGTACACGGTCTTGGTCTCGCATCCAATACACTCAGCGTAGGTTCTGTTGGAATGCTGCTGCTGCCTGCAGACAGCAGTACACATTAAAGTCCTACGGCAGTTGCGAATTGAGGATATCCGAAGCCGAATCCACCAGACTTTACTTGTTGGGTGTACAACTTGTGACATAAAAAAACTAGGCCTTTTGCATTCGCATTATAGTACAGGGAAAACCCCAAAAATACTTGACGTTATTAGCCCCCCAGGGGGAAGGGGAGGGGACAAAAAACCTGTACAAAGGCGTTCTAAAATCCGCGCTATCCGCCACTTCCCATGTCGCAAAGGTTGGCCGTTCCTTTAGCTTCCTGCGAGGGCCGGATCCCGCGATGGCGTCCATTTAATCGTCTACGCGGAGCATTTGACGGATTGAGCGTGAGAGGCGACAGTAGCGACCGCATGTACGCCGCTGCCAGTGTATTTAAACCCCCTGTACAGGCAGTGCGCATGCCTTTGCGATATGAATTATGCAATCAAACTATCAAGTATAAATCAAGGTACTTACAGATAGAGTGTGCAAGATGATGCTGTCTTGAGATCAATTGAGTTGACATTTCTGTTGCTAGTTATTCACCTTTTGTTAATAAAACAAGATAACAAGGGGATCACCACATTGGCAAGGACATCTCTAGGCTTACTAAGGCGATGGAAGCTTATAACACTCCCCAGCCTTTGCAACCTCGTAAGGTACAGGGAACCCTCGTGTACCGATTAATGCCTATTAACCAGATGTTATGTGAGACCTCTGGAGCTTTGTTTTTGGACTTTGGCGGAGAGATAACCTACTACTGGATCGGCGAATTCAGCATCGTCAATGTCATATTCCGCGCCGTCATATTGAGCGCTGTCCATGTCGTATTGAATGCTATTGTATTCAGCTTCACCGTACTGAGCGATAGCGCCTATAGCAGTAGTTGCAAGAAGAAATAGGTTTGCGAGATGCATTGTTTTTGCTTGATAGCTTAAGATGTTTAAGCTGGCGTGATGGATTAGAATTAATAGTGCGAATTTTTTTGTGCAAGACGTTTTAAGATCATACTAGAAGCTTTGGCAGATATTTATATTTTATGTTTTTTCTAGTTGCAAGAGTCCAATAACTTGCTACTATTATTTAAGTATAATATAAAGGGCACGCATTACTATTACGGCGTGGTAACTCTCAGTAATTGGAATAGTCTAATCTGGTCTAGAAGTTTACGGTATAAGTCTAATATATCAGAATTTATAATACACTTATAACTAGAGTACTTTAAATTGTGGGAATCTGTTAGCAGGTTAGCTGTTTTGAGTTTCTGATCGTAATATGAACTTAGTTTATATTAGCATTGAAGTTTAAACGTGATATAATTTTTATTAAAAGTTATATTAGCACATGTACAGAATGTCTATCGCCATCTTTGCCAATCGAGGGAAGCGCGTTTATTATTCATCGCAGAGTTACCAGGTAAGGCGGGAGCAGTCAATTAGAGGCGACTGGGAGATATAGGACGTGGATTTGTAAAAGTCTTCTTATGCCATACCTGAGGCTAATTTTTCTGCATATGAGCCCTTCCTGCCGCTTAACTCGGAGGGGCAAACAGCGCCTCCCAGACTACATATTGTATTGAATGGGCCTAGTTTCCGGAATCAGTAGATCGTGGTCGTGGCTGTGGAAAGAAAAGTTGCGTCACCATGTCGTCATTATTATCTAGCATTTGTGTCTCACATGAATTTATACCAGCAGGTCAGGTGATTTTCGTAGGTAGGATGCGGATGACAGGCGGCCCGAAGGCGCCATAGTTTCACGACACTTGCTGGGGATTTGGTGGCTTGGTGGAATCATCTACCAATTACAGTGACTGCCTTTGGCTCACGATTTTGTGGAAGCATGTGATCGGTCTCTTGTAGCTTATATATTCTGCTCGTAGTCTTGCCACTCTCAACGGGTTCTCTTGCTGCCTTTTCCGCGCCCAAGAATTCGTCCCTTGTGAATCTATCCATCTCAGCACTAGTGTCATGTCTTACCCAACCAAACCTTGCTTTGTTGGCTCTTTCAAGGGCTTCGACAGCGAGGCCCTCAAACACCCTGCTCTGAGGTACTTTAGCGACCTCAACGTGGATTTCTGCGAGACCAAGGCTGCTCATTCGGGGCCGCATACCAAGTGGAGCATCCAGGACTGGGAGTTCCAAACCCAACACGGGCAGGTCGTCAAAGGGGAGGAGGCTTGGAAGAGGCTCATCCATACAACTCGATTCTATGAGAAATTCTCAATGGAGCCCCTCTCCGCTTTTATTCAGGATACCGAAAACGGGTACGATGGCATAGTCTACTCGAATTTGTATGCAAACTTTGTGAAGCCTGGTGAGAAGACTTATTCAGACATCAAGGGAACCAAATGGGAGTTGCGGGTAAGTATCTATAGTTGTTTCTCAAAATGGAGTTGGTTGGGCAACTACTAAACGCAATGTAGGTTCCCCGCGCTTATTGCCTTACATTTGTCAAGGACTCTGATGGGCACCACGGCCTGAAGCTGAGCAAGCTAGCCATCGTTGGGGATGTTTTGGGCACGATGGCAATCGCAGTTCAGAGGGAACTAGTTTCGCAAGAAGATGTCCTTCGAGTCTAGAGGAACAGAACGACCTCACAATTAGTATGTGGTGGCGGTGTATCGATTGCGCTAGAATAACCATGGTTCAACACGAGTGCCGGGATATGTTGAAAGGGCACACTGAGCAAAAGGACAAAAATGGACATTGCAGACAGCCGGGGAAAATTGCACGACTAGGATCAGGTCAGTCCTGGAGTCCCCGCATCGCTATGTTGACCAGACTTCGCGTGGAACTCGGCGGGATTACTGACGGTTCGGGGTACCGCAGCTAGTTTATTTTCTGTTGGAACCTACAGGTAATATAATTATCGTGCCGTTCATCTAGTACCAAAATTTATCTTTGTCGTCGATCTGTAACGGATTTTTACACACGGATACACTCGAGGAAGCTGTGCTTGCTCGTGAGGACTACGCTTCTCATTCAAACCTTTTAGGCGCGCGAGCAGGGGAGCTGCTCATCTGACAACCTCCATGCGGCGTCAAACTTTCCCAGGGCTGGCATGATGCTGCAACACCAGACGTAAGGGCGTTACAGAAAAACTATTTTTCAGGCATGTCTTATTAGAGTTTACATAGTGTGGGGTGGCGGCAACATTCCTGCAAGCTGCGCGCGGCGTCTGTGGCGTTTGAAAAGGCCGCCTACGTCAATGTATCTGAGCAAAAGTAGGACACTTTTCGTTGACGACTCTTCTCTTTCACACAAGGCCGTAGTAGCCCAACGCGGTCCGGCGAGTGGTCTTACCCAGCGGCAGTATGAGACCGTCGGTGTGATGATAAAAGTCGTGCCTCCTATTCAAACATTGCCTGCCCGAAGCATCTTGACCACGTAGCCAATACACTAACTAATTAAGTTCTAGTCTCAGGAGGATACTTCAAACTTCTTCCATCTCCCTTGCCCCGTCCCCTCCGGCTGCTAGGCGGAACTCATCTCGCTTTAATACCTGTATTGTGCCAGATTCTACTCACCCTTCAACGAGTGCTTGTGTCCTTTTGCAAACGTCGAGGTTGCAGTTACATAAACGATATGGGAAGAGAACAACCCCATTAACCACCCGCCAAAGAACGTACAGAGCCCCATGATGCCTTCCGGACACAGAAACACGTGGCGACACAGATAGTACGTGGGAACGGCAAAAGTCGGACCGCTAATTAACCCATTCTGGTACGTTGCCCACGCAGTGTAGGCACGCATGTCTCCCCTACGTTTTGCGGCCTGGGAGAGAAGCGTGAAGCTGATGGCATGGAAACCCCATTGCGGGACGGTGAACCAAAAATCTGCTTTCGGGCGGTGCGACCATTGATCGAAACTTGACAGCTTGGGGCCCAGGAAGGCCAGACTCAAAAGCGAAGACGCGGCGATGATGAGCCGAAGCCTGCTGCTGGTAAGCGTCTCGTTGACGGGGCGAGACTGACGTCGACGAAGGTAAAATATCGGAGCGGCCACCAGAAATGGACCAGCAAATACGGCGCTGTACAAGTTGACGGTCCATTTGGTCTCTCCCCACAGTCGGCCGAGTACAACCCAGCAGAGCCGGAGAAAGGGGGCAGACAGCATCAACGAATAATTGAGCATCATGAACTCGCGGTGAGAGCCGACGTCTCCGTTCCAGACGGCGTACACTGCAAGTGCCATGGTCACCAAGACACCCAGGCTTAGCATGGATAAAATCATGGCAAACGACTCGCCTGAAAACACCTCCCTCGTCGGTATCGTGTCGATGAGGAAGGACGCCGACGACGCGGAGATGATCAAAGCACAGAGACCATATACTCTCCCGAGACTTCGATGGACAATGGGATATTTAAACTGAAAAGTCTTGTTGAATTGCAAAAGGCCTGTGATGATGGCCACTGTGCCGCTGATGGTGTGAGGAAGCATGGACGTTATGTTTCGTAACAGGACGAAATATTGACCTGGACCGTAGTCGTCGGGGTGGCCAGACCCGTTGCCGTACGCAAATTCGCGTGAAACGAGGGCATGGAGCATTTTATCGCCCACGGAACTTGGCATCTCGCTGAGAAAGTATGTGAAGGACATTGGCGCATACCACAGGACGAGCAAAGCCAGAGAGCCAAGCAAAAGCCTGTCGTTTATGGCGCCGGTGCCTTCATTTTGTTTCTTGGCCACGGATTTTTTGCCATTTTGGCCGTGAAGCGGCGTGGGCGGGCTCTCTGCGACTTGTGCCAGTAATTTTGTTGTCGACATTTTTAGGCGTAGCACACGGACATGGGGAAAGGTGTGCAAAAGAGATGGAAAGGTGAGGGTTCGGACGGGATGGAAATTAGGAGCGAAGAATTGTTTTTTTATTCTGTTCATTCTTGGCCGTCGTACGACGGACCCCGATACTGTACAGAGTTGTCCCGACGTTCCACTGGATAAATGAAAGCTCTCAACCTGCCGGACCCGCTTCATGGCCGAATGGAGAAGTGGAGGTTTGATTTCGCTGCCAACATTTGAAAGTTAGACTCAACTTGAGTTTGGAACACATGCACGTTTGGCAGTCTAGTTACCGAGGTTTGTAGTGGACTTTATTTAAGGGTCTGGTAGACACGTTCTGTCGCACACGGGAACTTGGGTCGAACCGGGCCCAACAAAGGGCCGCTGCCAGGATGGCTAACTTGCCTGCACACGGGTCTAGCAGACTTGACATCTAAGCATCAATTGATCGGATCAATCGCCAAGACCTGTGTGTGGAGGTAATCACTAACAGTTTCCGTAATGAGAACAGGCTGGCCAATTGGCTCTCCGGATCTGATGCATTAAGTCGACTGGGATGAGGCGCTAGACATCATTGTGCGCAGATTTCGTGGTGAGATCCACCAAATCCCCATGGGCAATGAATAGACAATTTAGTACATGAAGCTTCGAATCCGCTGCTATGTGGAAGCATTGTTGGCATACCGTCATCTTGGACCTCTTGGCTTGCGTGACCATCTTGCTCCTCTGCCATCGTCATCAGATCCAACAAGCTCCGTTGTCGACTCTTATATTATATGTGCTCTTTATAATAAGCGTGTCACGGTAGAAAAGGAAGCTTCCATGTAATGTATGATAGTTTTCATTGTTAACTAGCAAATGCTAGTTGCAAGCTCTATCAAAAAGTAATTGAATCCAGTCAGCTAACAGCTGTGTACTTTGACGAGTGACCTGATTCCTCCCGAAATGTTAAGAAGCGACCCCTTGTTTTGCCCTCTTGCAAACTATTGTATTGCGTCTGCCTTTTGCTGCTGTGAAATGGCTTCTACAGCTAGGCTAAACTGCACACAAACTTTGAACGAGATCGCGAGGGTAAGAGCCTCGATTTCGTTTAGAAATCAATCTCATCCATCCACTTGCCATACTTGCACCAAGCCTTATATCCTTTTACAGGCGGGTATGGAGTAAAGCCCTGTACATCCTTGCAATCTACAAAGGCAAATCGGAGGAAAGGCACCATGTAAGGATGATAGCAGCGCTGCTCAGTTTTCCAAATTCTAAAGACGATTCCTTTGTGTAATATATGAGTATCTCTTATACAGCATTATTTCGAAAGTAACTGTGTGTGGAACTTACCAGCGCTACCATGGCACTTGAACTGGTCACTAGTCTCTGGGTATCCCATGTTTGTATAACCCGACAAGTCCAAGTCGACAGTATCAGCTCCATTCAGAGCAGGAAGTGACTCGACGTCCTGGAAGGGAGCCTTTTTATCTTGGAGGGTGTAGGTTGACAGCTCTTCCCTATTGACCAACGCTGGTGCGCCGTTGGCAACAGAGCTAAATGCAGCATCCAATGTGGGTGCGGCGTTGACAACGGAGCCAAGTGCGGCAAGCACGCTGATAATTGAAGTGTAGTGCATTGTGGCTTTGGGTAAAGCTTCTCAAAGAGTCGAAATTAGAATGCTGTGGTGAATACCGAGATGGTCTGGATTGCGGTTGGAAAGGTATAGACAAGAAAGCGCAGCAACTCTAGGTATATATAGACGCAGGCGCAACAAGATTTCAATGTGCGTAGCAAGGCATATCATAAGTCAGACATACTATTCTTTGTCGAGGTGGCAATTACTCCGAAATCATGCCACACTTTTATTGCACAAAGTGGCTCTTATTACAAATAATATTAATAGCAGGGGTATTTTGTTCAATGCTTTTCAGGCGGCAGTCGTCATGTAATAACAGCCACATTAAAAACTTCAAGTACTACTCCGCACCGATCTTACTATGACTACATCGCTCATGCTAGCTAGCCCAATGGTACTGTGCAGTCTGGTGTTTAAACAAGAATAAATTTGTACCACAGGTGGAAATGCTCAGTTATTTCAGGATACACAGGGCAAAATAAAAGTAACTAGTTCTCGACTTTTCGCTCGTCTAATTGGGAGCCGTTACAGACCGTCTCTTCATCGTTAATAAAGGGGAGCACAAGGTTTTCAAGCGAGGCAAGTGGAGAAATATTGGGACACGAGAGGAATGCAACTAATAGTATGACAGCATCTTATCTGATCTAATGCCTGCACTTGGCCTTGTCCGCCAAGCAAATAGTCAAATTTCTGTCCTGGCAATGCATAAATGCCTCTAAAGCTTGGACGAGTTTCCCGAGGATAGCGCATCGCGTTTTCCACTTGCCCTTGCAGTTCTCCGAGCTCGTGTGACGCATACCGGGTCGCCGCATGGCATTGTAGCAACCGGACATGTTACCGAAACGGAGTCGACGATGCAGTCGATGACATGCCGCAGGGGTCGTGCAGCACAATATTGTTATTTATGCGGCACTACACTATTCCATGTCACGGCTACTTGGCCACACACACCTATACATTTTTACCCACATAACTGCCCATGTCTTCCAAGGAATTTATGGGGTTATAGGCGAAGTTTGATAAGCGGCTACGGGTCGTTGTCCTCTCTCAGGTCGCTGCCCATCTGTACGTCTTCTGTATTGAATCTATATAACCGATGGCTTCAAGCCTTATATCCCGTGCGAGTATTCTCAGCATCAGTGAAACCAAATCCGCTGGCATTAATATGTTGCTTCCGTC